AACCAGACCTATCCAATCCGTCTATCGCGGCGTGATTCTTAGTCAATCACGGCGTGAGTCTTGCTCAGTTGGAAAAATATAGTTGATATATGACGTTGAATTAACGTCGAAAACTAAATGTTGAAATAATGTTGAAATTCTGATCGCATCGATATCGAAATAATATAAATTATTAAAATTTTTAATTGAAAAAAGTGCAAAAGTGTAATTTTATTTGTAAATTAAAAAAAAATAAATTATAAAATATATAATATTTATTTATTTTCACTGTAATATGCTCTCAATCTTGTAAACCTAAAAGACAGAAAAAAAGAAAATTCGATAGTCGGTCAATGTGTGCCTGTTGGTCATGAAAGTCATACTTTAATAAAGATTGGCAGGTCTGATATATGATTCTTCATGCATTATTTATATACAATTGTTATTCTTTTATTTTCGTTAAGGTTTTTTATTCTTTTCTAATTCTTCCTTAACTAAAAATTTTTCTAAAATTTTGCTTGTTGTAATTTATTCCAAATTTAGAAATTATTCTATCTGTCTTTATGTTTTTTTATGTCTAAACATTTACTTAATTAGAACAAATAGCGTTCAAAAGAATAACAATTCTTTCTGCAAAGAAATGTAAAAATTTAATTGCGCGAATTTAAATAAAAATTCGCAAAGAGTAATGCATCAAAATATTTTAAAATATAGAAATAATTTATGTGTGATATAATAATTAATGTAAATAAATAATATTTGAGAATTATAATAGAAAGAGAATTTACTTTCTAAAATAATTTTGTTAAGAAAAAATTGGCAAATTATTTAAGGAATCGAGAGAGGGCATTCGGTGATTCCAAGATAGTTTGTACAAACTATCTAGTATTAATCAAGAAAAAGCATTTAACATTCCACGCGAAGAACAATGCTGTTTGCTCTCGTGTTGCAAACTCTTAAATTCTTAAGACGGCGAGCAACTCTCGTAGCGAGATGTAATTTCGTCTCGCGATAGCGCACTTACACGATCCCGCTCGGTGTTTTACGTAACGTTCGCGATTTTTTTTTTAACTAGCCGCGAGAAAAATCTTTTTCGCGCACGGGAATCCTTTCGCCGTCCTTCTGCCTCTCTCTTTATCTCTTTCTTTCTTTCGAGTGCGAGCGCAGAAGAAAGTCGAATGATTCAACTTTCGTAATCATTAAGAGCAGTACGTTACGTTTTACATCGCTTCCCCAATTAAGTGTATTTAGCAACCGCGATTGCGGTCGGCGTCGCGGTTACAATCCAATTGTCAAATGACTTCAATTACATGATTATATTGTATGTACATAGGCGGTTGTCCCTCGTTAAAATTGCACATTCCGCGGTGAATTTGGAACCGATTTTCCTCACTCACTCACGTAATTTTTCACGAAAGGCTCAATTATGAATATGTAAATTGACGGTGAACTATAAATGTTATGAATATGTAAATTGATGATTACAGAGTGTATACTTTTTTTAGTTACATATAACTTTATTACGTAAACAATCCTTTTTAGCGTTTTCCAAGAATTTGCTTCTAAAAATTAATTTATAAAATAATAAATTTTATCAGATTATAATTAAATAAAATAACATAAAATAATTACATTTATAGATATTAATAATATAAAATAAATACAATTATAGATTACAATTTAAAATTATAAAATAATAAATTTTATCAGATTACATTTTATAAATAATGGAGGCAATAATAACGAGGATAATTCTACACTTTCGAATTTTCTTCTTGTCAATTTAAGACACTTTGCATATACAAATAATCCTCGTTACCTGATAAATTAATCGCAAATTAATCGCGAAACGCAAAATGCTCCGTCCCTTCCACAAATTCCATAATTACTGGACAATTTATATGTTATACCGAAAATTCCCTGCGTCATGCGCGTGCATTACTAATTAATGGGACAGATAATTAAAAAAAAAATAACATGCCGTCGGTCAGGTGGATTTTCTCCTCGACCATCGAGTTCAGCAGGTCAGTCGTCGTACTTGAAGTGGACCTCGGTCGGGTGCTTATATTCTGTATCGCCAAGGATTGTAATGCACCGTGTCGGTGCATAACCAGTTCTTAACAGACTTCTTATCTGATGCTACGGCCGGTCCAAACAGATAGTCTCGAATCGCCTGTGCCGATTCAGAAACTCGTGTAGGTCATGGATATACGAGCTTGGAAATAATTTGTCGCTGACAAATGAAATAAAATAAATGGATAAATTATTCGTCTCAGCAATATGAACGAGTCTTACAGAAAATTTGATAAATGTCTGAAGGTATTAAAATAAATTAATAATTATAAAAAAATATATTTCTGAAGCTCTTTAGTCAAATAGTAAAAGAATTATAATAGAAAGATATCTAAAGATATTTAAGAGATCGAAGTATCTCTCTTTAATAATCTATTAAGATTATGTATATTATGTATATTTGTATATTATGTATATTATGTATTTATGTATATTTGTTTTGTATTCCTTCAACTTCATAGTTTTGCAACTTATAGTACTAGAAAAAACTTTGATATTTTATATTTAAATATTCTTAAATATTCTTTATTTTTTTGCCTGTAAATATAAATTTACCGATAAAGTTATTAGTTATTTCAAGTCATAAGATTCTATAATGTATTTCTCGACGTTGCGTGTAAATATATATCGCAAGATATCTTATTTAAATTAACTTCGCCAAGGCAATCTCACTGAAGTTATGCTGACGTTGTAAGACATATATTACAGATACTTTAAATTAAATTACTCTTTTTCACATAGCTTTACATTGAATATTTTTTTATTGCAAATTGATATATTTTTATCATTTCATTGTGAAAAAAAAATGCGTTGAACATTGCTGGTACTTTCGCGTAAGTGCGTATAATTGAAACAAGGCCAATTATTTCCGGGAAGCAGCAACTAATATATCATCTAACTTCTAATTTTCCATTAGTTCCAAGTCGAGTAAGAGAAAGCTCATACAAATTATTATTTATATATGCAGATCGCTAGATCTCTTTCGTGAAGTTTCATGAAAGGAGCTCTTCCAGACTTCTTAGGATATTTTTATGATAACATAAAATATAATAAATATTTTTGCTTAACATACTTCTTATATATTGAATGCATTTTATTGTCGCATTTTTCAATTTAACAATGTATAATAATTTAACAACAGTAATGAAGATTTAAATAGAATAAATTATGCTTATTACTGCGAAAACTGGTTTTGCTTAGTAAAGTTTTCTATCTTTTTGTAACATAATATATATATATATATATATATATATATATATATATATATATATTATAGAATCTGTGAGAAAAAAAAAATATATATATATAAAATAATGCTTGTATCACATTCTTCACTTTAAATAAAATCATGTCTATAAATGAAAAATCGAATATCAGACGTAAGATTACAAGATTATAAGCTCTTGGCTTTAATTTCAAAATATCAATATGAAATATGCATAAAGTTGTAGAAAATGGTCAAGAAATTATAGATTTGTCTGTATCAAGAAAACTGCCGGTTAATGCGTTTCTCAAGTGGTTTTATATAACTGTTAAGGCAACTTTCGACCTGAGGTTAGCAGTCTGTTAAGTTGAGTATCATAAAAAGTCTAATGAGCCATGAGCCTAATTAACGACGCGTCGATGATGACTCGACGCTAAGAGTCCACTTGGGACTAGGCATAATGCCTCAAAAGCTTTGTCGTGTACGTCGTGTCTTTGCTAAGCAAGCAAAATCTTGTTCAAGATCTTCTTCACTACTATATTCTCTGAAGATGCCATTTCTCTCGATCAGATTAGGTGAATGAAAGGCGGAGAGAATCGCGGTATAATGGTTTATAATAATGGCAAAAGAAATGAGAAAGAAGAGGGGAAAGGGGAAAAATAAGAAACGGATTGTTGAATGGACAAAGGACGCATTCGTAATTGATGCAGCTATTGTTCGATTTCTATGCGATAACTGTAAATTATATTGACAGCCATTTGTTAAACAAGTTTTAGTCGGAAATAAAAAGTTTAATGACAGATTAATTAAGAAATTCTTATGAATAAAAACATTTAAAAAATGGAATCTAAATTAGATTTTATGGTTGCGAATTTTTATCTGAAATAATTAATTTATGATATATTAAATTAAGTATATGCGTGTGACCTGTGATGGAAATGTTTTTTTCACAATTATAAATTTTATTATAGAAAATCAAGTTTTTTTTAGGAAAAATTTACTTTATTGTATTGTTCTTTTTTGTAGCTTTTTAATTAATTTTTAACACAAAATATATCTTGCTAATATTAAATAATTAAAGTACTATTAAAGTAACGTTCATTCACACAAATCGACATATCATTGTAATTTTTACAAAGTAATTATTGCAATATATATACTTTCTTTCATATTTTATTTTTATATACTAACATCTTTATCAAATTAAAGATATTTTTCTTGCGTAATACTATTTATATAGTTCTCTCTTTCATCGATTCTCCGACTCATTTATATGATCCATCACAGACACGCTTGACCTTGCATGTGCTGTACGTGATCCAGCGAATCTGTAATTTCGCATCTTGCAAAGCATCCGCTCGCAGCATCCACGCTTCTGCAGATCGTTTCCGTAACCTGATATGTTACAAACCATCACGTGCCGGTGATTTGCCATTATTATGTGCATACCTAAGATACATTTCAACATTCTACAGTCAAATGTCAGTTTATTTTTGCGCTTTACAATGTAAGATTCTCCCGCCGGGAGAATCTTGTAGTCACAGATGCATAGATGATTTTATTGGATTTTATTTTCGGATTTATTTTATTTTGCATTCTATTTTCGGAAACACAAATACGCGAATAAATTTTATATTTCGAAATTTCTAAATAGTTTAATTGAATGCAAATAAAAAATACTTTTTGCACAAAAGAAATTACATACATTACATTATTACATACTATACATATGTTCGAACTTGTAAGAAACTAAAATCACGTCGACATGAAATTGCAAATTGATATCTGGTAGCATAAAATGAAGATAAATATTTTATGTGAACGCAAGTACATATGGCTTATAGTATGTTACATATGTTAATGGTAAATCTCGTCTCGTAACTTTCTTCAAAAATATGATGTATCTTTGAAAGAGTCATACACTCACAATTCATTTGAATATTAATAAGCGATTTGTGTCGCGTGGCAGGATTTATGATAATTCCACTGGCCCCAAGAGAGAGAAACGCCATCGCGGCGGCGATTTATTGTCTACATATTCTGCCCACGATGCACCGTTATACTTCAGATGTACGTTGCGATTGCACTTTATTCTAAACACAAAGAAGACGAGAGAAAAAGAGAGAGGGAGAGATTTATTCTTCGAGCAATACACCACTTGAAATTATTTTATTTTTACGAATAATTAAAATAAAATTTATTTATTAGGAAATGGCAATAACGTGTTGTTGATCTTGAATATCGCTTATATTTTAATAGTTTAATAGTCTTCAGAAAGGAAAGACTTTTTTATTTTTCAATGAAGATAAATAAAACACACAGATTTTTAATAAATTAAGAAATATTTAAGTATTTCATTTTTTTATTGTCTTTATTTTATATTATATTTTGAATAGAGATAATTTAATCTATTCACAATTGAATATAACTATACAATATAAATGTTTATTTGTAACTTAATGCACTTCGCATCATAGATAGAATATATAATATATTTCTATTAATATGCAATGAATTTATATTAATAAAATATATTACTGTACCAAATAATATACATGATATCGGTATTTCAGATACTTTGCTGAATTTATTACATATTCCTCATATAGATTTATATGAATTTGATTTAGTTTAATTTGATTTGATTTGACTTGATTTATGTTTTTAACATACATATATTAGTCTCTCGGACCTAATTTCAAAATCTATTTGTTAAAAAAAATTATATGATACTTGATATTACACAATTTTCAGGTTTTATCGGAAAATGATTAGAAAATGCATTTATTTATTTACGTATCTAAATTCTATTTGATTGATTATTTCATTTCTCATGCCTCTTTCTTACCTTCGTACTTAAAGATTTAGAAAGGGCCTCTCGAATTTTTTATTTAAATTAATCCATATATCTCAATTAATTTAGGTAAGAATTTCTATGATTGAATGCAAATATTACATTACTCGTTGTAAGAATCCATATGATAGTTTTCTTCTGAAGTTTTTAACAAAGTTGCTCTTGTAGATTCTCAATGTTGCTAGAAACACTCTATTAAAAAAAATATTTACTTTGAAGCTCGATTGTTCTTCAAACAACCGGTTCTCTGACAGCTACTTTCAAATACGAGGAGATACAAGCTTCTACAAACGGGGTAGACTTTCCGATTGCATTTGAAGTTGCCATTTGTGTTGCAACCGACAATTGGGCTTCCCATGTTGCAATCACATGTTGCAGTTTCGGCGAACGGACTATTAATTATTCGATGCGAACGATTAGGAAACGATCTATTCCTCGATTCTTCGGAATCATTCCGGATATAAGAGCCAGATCATCATAATAATTGAATGAATACTAAGACGATTTCGATTTCCAAATATTGAAGTTGAAATATCTATAATATCTGTTGCGCCAACTTTGCGTTAATAATGAGTGATTGATTTTCCTTTCATGTTATTTCTATTGTCACCTCTTAATAATATCTTAATAATTAAATAGTATTTAATTTTTAAAAATTAATGAAGTAAAATATTTTCTATTAATTATAGATTGTATGGAAATCACAAGAATCTGGAGATTTTAAGAGTTTAAGTTTATAAACTTTACTTTATCGATTAGAAATTTGATAAATACTTACTTCAAAAAAACAGATCTGTGCATATAAATCTTTGGAATCAACAACCAGCGGTTTACAAAACGAAAAACAAATAAATTAGTTTCAAGTGAAGAAGTAAGGAGAGAGTAAATTCAATTTATCGAGTAAGTAAATTCAATTTATCGACGCTCAATTTAATATGATTTCTCGAATGTTAAATCTTACTCCAAATTGTTAAATATTATATTAAATTAATATATACGGAATTATGTACATTGAGATTAATTCAATAAATACAGGAACTGAATAAGGCACAGTGCAAAGATTATATACCATACCATTTTATATACCACTTTAATCTCGCGCAATCTTATTTTAATTGAAATATCAGATCTAAATATCAGATTGAAAAAAAATTTTTAAATTAATTTAATATAATTTCCTTTTCTAATTATCGTAGCATCTCTTAATGCAAGCAACTCGATATGTCCTAGAAAATGTTTACGAACGTGTACTAACCTCTTGCAAACGTAAAGCGTGAAAGCTCGCGGTCTATTTCCGATCAATTTATTAGCGAGAAACACGTCTGCCAAGTGCATCATCTTCCTTCGAACATCATAATGATGCGGTCGCAACAGCATTTTCACTTTATTCTTCATCAACTTTATCAACTTTCGAAATACAAGTATCTGTCTCTTTTTTCGAGCAGAGATCCCTACGCGTTGCTCTGTATCGGTGTCAAGATGCTGGACTCTTGATCAGAGTTGGGCGGCGTAAGGACCATCTGCGGCGCCACGTTACCCTCAGGATCGGCGCGATCGACACCAATCTCGTCGCCGGATTTGGCTAATCCGACAGCGTTGTTGACGATGCACTTCTTGAAATGAGTCCTCATGTTGCTACTCTGCGAGAACCTGCCACCGCAGTTGGAGCAGGAGTATGGCTTAGTGCCAGTATGGTAATTGAGGTGCGTCTTGAGGTGGTGCTTCTTGGTGAAGGCCTTCGAGCATAGATTGCACTGGTACGGCTTCAGACCGGAGTGCAGCCTGGTGTGTAGGGTCATGTTGGAGCGATCGGCGAACGCTTTCTGGCAGACCTGGCACTGATACGGCCGTTCGCCGGAATGGGTCCTCAGATGTTGCTTGAGCAGCATCTTCCGCGAAAACGCTTTGCCGCATTGCTCGCACTGATGCGGCTTCACGCCCGTATGTATGCGCACGTGCATGTTGTAGGCTACGCGTTGGTTGAAACTTTTGCCGCATTCCGCGCAGCCGTACTCCTTGCGATTCCGATGGATCTTCATATGCGAGCTCAGATAACCGCGATCGTTGAAGTACTTGCCGCATTCCGGACAAGTCGCGGCGAACTCCCGCGTGCCCTCGTGCACGCTGCGGTGGTACTTATAGTTGCGCAGCTGTGAGAATTGTTTGCCGCAATCAGCGCAACGGAACGGCTTCTCGCCCGAGTGTGTTCGGCTATGTACCTGCGATGACGTAGACATCATCACATAAGCGAGATGTATAGCTGCTTGGGAATATAGAATCGAAAATAAGGCGAAAAAAGGAAAAGAATCGAATGAGACTTTGAATCTTTGCTTTCTCTTCTATGGTCTTGTAATCAGCGCGATCAAGTAGATATAATCTCATAGACGCGGTGTATAACTAAATATAATTTAAGAATATGGAATTGAAAAAAAGATGGAAAAATGAAAAGGCTCGAACGCGACTTTGAATCTTTGCTTTCCCTGTAATTTTGTAATCAACGCAAGTATTGATAATCTGACTTTACACAGTAATTATTTATGATTATGAAGTGTTGAAGAGGAAAAAATCGTGTTAAATGTCTTAGTATCTTATCTTTTAATAATCAACTTTTAATAATGCGGGCATATAAGCACATATATGATGAAGAATTAAGGTGCTTACATAAAACATGTAAAGCCATAAATGAGAAGTGTGTGACATTAATTTAACATTAACTATGATGTTAGATTTCTATATTTTTGTCAAATTAAAGTGCAGAATTAAATAGTTAAATCTTACAAAATGTATCTAGCCGCGACTGAAATCTATGAAATCTACATTTTCCGCAGGAATATATAAACATGCGGTCTTTAAAAACGTTAGCTGACTAATTCTTTGGATAAAAAATACCTTTAGCGAGGCTCTCGTGACGAAGGTCTTCCCGCACTGATCACACCTGTGATCGTCGCCCGATCGTCCTATCTGAGTCGTTTCGATAGTCCTGACGATCGTCTCGTTGTTATTGTTATTATCGCTATTAACAAGAATCCTCTCCTCCTCATTCTTCTCCGTGCTCGTCATCTCCATCCTCGAGGACTCCCTCTTCTCGTCGGACTCGATCGTGTCGCAGAGTCTGCTGATCGGATGCGACAATTCGTGTTTCTGCGGCGTCTGCGGAACCGGAATCGGCGTCGTATATCCGCCGGCATTCGTGATAACGCTGTCGTTAACGGCAGGCAATAATCGCGTAGGCGTGTTGCTGACGTTTCGAACGGGCGGATCGTTGCTTCTCGACGAGTTCGCAAGCGGTGCGATTTGATTGCAGGGTGCGAACGGAGCTGGCGGAGATCGATAGATCTCCTGCATGTTCGTCTCTGGAGCACCGATCGTCTCGCATAATCTCGTATCATTGCTAAAGCTCATCTCGCAATTGGTAGGAACTTCGACAGCGTAAAACCCGTCATTTCTCGATGGATTCCTATTCGGGGAATGGATCTTCGGACTCATCGATATTACCGTAGATCGAGTTGGTTCTGGAGTTAGAGGCTTCTTTTGAATTTCCTGCAACAGTTATCGAATTATCTATTTACGCAATTAATTTCACTTTTCCCTTTGAAAATAATTATCCTAATTTAAATAACAAAATAAGGTGCCTCTTATACTTTAATTACAAAATTTTTTTAACATCGTTCTTCTATTTTTATGTTTAAAATATTATTTGTTGAAATATTTTAAATATTCCTTATGTATATTCATTATTTAAAACAATATCATGAAAATTTTAATATGTTTGTTATAATAAAAATAGTCTATTTTTAAATTCAACAGTTTTTAAATTTGTCTCTAAAGAAAGATATATTTAAGTAATCATTTCAATTATAAACAATTTTATAGATATATTAATGTAATTTTCTAGAAAAGACATAATTATGTTTTTGCGCGTATTCAGCGTATCCGCAAAAAATCGGACACTCGTTTACAATCAAATGCAAATGATTAAATCAAATTTATTCATGTTCATTAACTTTACGACAAGGAAAAAAGGCGACCATGGCGTATCAGCCGTGAAAATTCGAAATCAGACACAGTACGCGCATTTCAATGAGCTAGAAAGTAATATCTAGATTTAAATGCCATCGTTTTTTTTTATTATTTTTATGGTTAATTTCAAATAGTCATGCTCATCAATTTAGAATAATCTCGAAATGTTATCGCGGGTTTTCTATTGTCATCTGATTCCATCTTCTCTAGTTGCAACAATTATCGTCTCATTTAAAATAACACGAAATTATGATATTTTATAGAATTGGAAGTCTAATGTTCTTTTTTTCACGAAGAACAGCAATTGTAGCATTAATTTATATTATTATCACTTTAGCTAATATTTTCTTAGTAGAATTAAAAAAATAACTTTCACGAAATAATTTTTATCCCCTAATATTTATTCTATAGAAAAACGTGTCATCCATTGCAAATTTATTCAGACATTGAGAAACAGTTTCTAAACACTACGATCAGGCCAATAGGGTATAACGCAAGAGTCGTGTACATCAATGGTTTCCCATCTCTCGAATGCTAAATAAAACGACTATGGCACAGTGACTATAGCCGCGCGCAGGAATGCGTATAATGAGCAATTGATAGAAACAGAAGAAAGCGGCAATTAGAAAGTAGTTAGATTGTGACAATTTGACAGACATTATCGATCATTTGAATGCAATAGTCAAATGACCCTGATGTGATAAGAAAAGCGGATTTATTAAAATGCAGACTTATTTGCGTCTATTGTTATTGTATTTACATTCAACGAAATATAAATAATCGGGATTGAATTCATGAAATAGGATTTTTATATCGGGAGTACAATATTGATCATAATTTTCATAAAATTTATCGCATTAAATTATAACTTTCACACTTTTTTTCAATATTTTTGATTGATTTTTGCTATCAATCATCAGGATACTTTATATCTGCCGTTCTTTCTATATTGTTTTTCAGTTCTTCTTATCGCATTTATTTGCGAGAAAAGTTTCATGCTGAAAGCGTGATAACTCGACTGATTTCTTTTTTTGTCATAAAACGCGCGATAGTATTTATATAATTATAATATTGAAAATATTATATTAAGTATAAATAACACATCTCTCAATTAAAAATCCTCGATTAAAAATTTATGTTACATATTTAATGCCTAAATTATTAATAACAATTAAAATAATTAATAAGCTGTTTATATAAAAAAATCATTAATTCAGATATTAATTCTAAGTAGTTATATTTTTTAGAAAATTCTTTCTATACTAACTTTGCTTTCTGTTCTCGAAATTGATCATTGTCATAAATATTTATTTACACAACAATATTCCCGATGTAATTTATTGAAGAAATATAAAATAATTTACTCTAATGAAAGTAACCTATATCAAAGACAATTTTGTTACATATATTATAATTATTATTAATTATCTTAAACATTTCTTTCCTTAATTTACAATAAAAATTCAAATACCATGTATCTATTTCTCGAAAAAAATTAATGTAATAAATTCAAATAAGAATCAGATTAATGTTGAGTCAAGATATCTCCGGATGTAACATTTTCAAATTATAAATATCTATTTTAAGTAAACACTGAAAGGTACCGAAGGCTGAAAGAACTCGAATATAAATCTTCTTCAAGCCTATCTTATAATTCTTCCTACTTCTCTTATGATAGATTGCAATTATCCATCCGCGTACGCGCAAGGGAAAATCTCTGATGAACGCAACGGCTTCGTCCTTATCCGGACGATTAAAATCTCGGTGCAAGTTGCGGCGACCGCTGTTTGCGCAAGCAGCATGGCCGACCCACGAAATCTGGCACGCATCTCCCGTCGAAAGAGAAAATGCACGTAATAATGCGACGGACGCGCGCGCACCTGGCATCGCCAGCTGGCGATGCGCAATCACGGCGCGGCCTGATAAACGACTAGGAGGGAGCGAGCTAACTGATAGCTGCATTAATTGTAAATGAAACGACATCGAATCCGAGTGAAGGGCAACGACGCAGCTGGAAGTGACAACGCTCTGTCACCTGTTGTTGAGACGCGAGCGTACAAATGGCGACCGCGCGAATTTTCCGGGTTCGCATTCGTCTACGCTATGATGTTTACAACTATCAATTAATTCTCCTTCTATACATGTGTTTAGTGCGACATGCAATTTCTATTAATCACGCAGCCTACTCGCGTAGCAATTTTTTTTATGTTTCATGTTGGAAAATTAATGTATAAATCATCATACAGGTCTTTCTTTGATTAATTTCTAGTGAAATTCAGTTCATAATTTGTGTTAAGCAAAGAACGAAATTTGGAAAGAGAAAAAGATTCGTCAATATAACGGAAAGAATTAATAAGGCCCGGTTCCACAACTCGAATTAATCCGAGTTTAAGACGTTAAACTGGGTCCTGATTGGTCCATTCACTACTTAAACTCGGATTAACTGGATTGTGGAACTGGGCCTAAAAAGCATATATATATAGTTTTCCTGTTTCCTGACTATCATACATTTCTATTTATGAGTCTGCTATTTTATCTAGCTTATAAACTTTTAATAATATGCGCATGGCTGAAGCTAGATAATCTTTAATAGGCTAAATAGCTAAGGCTCTTGTTTCCTCATTCATGTCATATTGATTTATGATTTTTGATTCGCAGAAAAGCAAATGTAAATTTTTCATGAATACATTAAAATAAATTAGTTTCTCACTATGTTACCATTTGCATTCCATAGTATGAACGATAAAGCACACATCGAAAACTCTCTTTTCGTATAGAATTCTAATGAAATTCTAATGAAATTCAAATGATATCACGTCGCGTCTAATTTAATTCGTCGATTATTATTGGAAGACATGGATAAAATCGCGATTAAAGCGAGACATCAAAAATATGCAATTAGATTTTAAAACTGAATTGATCTAACGCTAAATCAAGATAATATATAATCTAGACAAAAACGTTAAAAAAAAAGAAATGATCATTTCGTACAATTTACATATACTCTAAAATCACAGAATTTTCAAATCGTCTTTAATCATTTTTTTGCTTTTGCACATTAATACTCCGAAAAATTACGTAGAACAGCTACGACTTATTCATAATAATAAATAAAAGCGAGGATTATTTTAATGTTCGAGACGGCGACATGTTTAATCGCGCTATTAGAATATGAATTTTTATATTTTAGCTGAGAATGAATTAATAAATGAATATAAAAATTTGTGTATATATAACAACCGTTTTTTTACATTCCTGCATTAATTAATTAAAATGGCAGGAACAATTGATGCCGCTATTTTCGCATGGCGTGTGAGGACCGCGGTTTCTATTTAATTAACTTCGCGAGTTTTACCACGAGCGATTTATAGAGACAGGTTATATCGAAACCATTTTCTCTCATTAATCTCGACGCGCCAAGACGATAACGCGGTAAGTGCGTTCGTGCATCCATGTCACGTTAAAATGTTTTGCATCTGCGGCATTAATTAAAGGGTTGCGGCATTAATTTAAGGGTTTATCTCTGTTCTTTATTTTGCGAAAATTGAAAATTACTAAAAACTACTGTATTATCGCGAGCCAATTAATCGCAATTCATGATTCTCGATAAATCTTTAACGGAATAATTGAATACGAGTGAAGAACGAGAATATTATATAATGTGTAAAATTTTTTATGTGAATATGCGTATAAGATAAAGTTTCAATTATTTAAAATTATCAATAATTAATTATTTAAATGGATAAAATACTTTTTATTTTCTAGATCTCTCCATTTAAAAGAAATATTATACAGCGTATTTATACAGCGAAAATAAATTTGCCATGTCATTGGCATGATTATTTACCTCTTCATGAATATTAACTCTTTTTTTATTATGCATGCAGTTGAAGTCGGAGTCGTTTTTCCATTGCTTGACAGATATCTTTTACTATCGATTAGACGAAAAACATGTGTTTGTGTTTGATTTTGCCATGTTATTCACCTCGACACAGTTCCCACCATAGTGAATATTTTACCTCTGGTCTGCTCAATCTTTATATTAAAATGTGATCGACTTTCATTTCCGACACACATTGATCGATCCACCATCGCAATTCTTCTTGTTTTTTCTTTTTAAGTTTATAAAACAGAGAGTCTATTACAGCGAAAAGAAATAAATATTGATATTGCATACAATTTATTTTCTTAAAACTTACAAAAAATATATTTGTATTTTTTTTCAATTAATATGATAATTGCGCCTACATTTTATTTGTTAAAAACTAAAAATTGAGTGAATAATATGTAAGAGAGCTAATCTCACTGAATCTTTCACATGTTTGTCTGTCAGGCTGCAGCGTTGAAAAGTTTAATCATGTTTAGATAAGAAAATCGCCTCACAGAAATACACAAATAAAAGGAGTAAAGCAGCATTTCATTGACATTATTAAGCTATCCAGTCAGAAATAAATATGATATTTAATTTTTAATTTTTAGTACGTGATATTTAATTATTATTTCAATTTATAAATAAATAGAGATATATGCAATGTATTTCTATTACTATTCTGTGTTACATTTAAATTTCGTATAAATGTTTTCATATGTTTATTTTCATTTTGGTTCTTTCAAGAAAATAAATATTATATTTATGTACTTTCTGTAACACTTTGTATATTTGTAATAAATTGATAATATTGTTCTATTGATAATACAATTATATATGTCATATTATTATCATATTCAAAATAATCAATTTTTCTCGATTTCATAAAATTCTTTTATACTATTTATAATTTACGATATAATTTAAGATAAAGATTTCTGTTTATTACATATGTATAATATGTATAAAATATAAGTGATACATATTTCTTATATAATTATTTTTTAAGTATTTTTCTATTTAGTAAAATTAGTATAACTCTATTTTTAATTTTTGTGAACTATAGTCTAAACAAAATCATCTAAAGTGACTTTTAATTTGAATATAATTAATTGATTGATTCATCATTGAAATAATAATCAAAAATTCATCAATAATTTGTACCATCTCGATGTTAATTCCATTAGAATTTCACCTTAATCTCAGTATCTGATTTTCGATCTGTTAGTTGGATACGTCAACTATGTTCTGAGAGTCACGCTGCAATCGACGTTCGACTTCGATCTGTTTTATATTCATGAGAATACAAGGCAACTCGACTCGAGTTCAAATCGCATTTGGCATCATAATCGAATATGCAAAACATTTTTTATCAACACTCAATGATCTGAAATGTGATTAATAATATTTATAATCTTGCTAAGTACTTACATCATCGATATGACGTTGGGATACGATGGACCGAGGGGTTCTCGGTGAATGATGAGGTCTGATAATCTGGCGCCACGGCGACGCGGTGACGCGATTGGCCACATGCCTGCGGATGGTCCTCCACCTACAACAACTTTCGCCGCAGCTGAGATCCTCACCCGCCGTCGTCTGCGAGCCGTAATCGATCGTCTTCTCGAAAGACCTTGTCCGACACTGCAAGGACGACAACGGCATGCCCTGGAAGGGGTACCCGTCGCGTGACCTTTCATAAGACTCGTCTGCCACGCGTACATCATCATCCGTCATCGGCTTCTCTGTCGAACGATTCACTTGCGATCTCTCGTAGCCCGATATTCTGATCCTCTCCGAAAAATCCAGATTATTACCGTATCCTTCCGCGAACGATCTATCAGGAAGACACGCGTCTCGCTGATAAACGTCGAAGGACGATTCGCTACTAGGAGCTATCATGCGATTTTTATCCGTGACTATCACCGAGCTGTGATCTTTCTCTGCGGAAGCATCTATCGCTCTATCCTGATACAGGAAACCATCGATTGGCCAGCCGCCCGGACAGCTTGGCTCAAACGAACTGGGACCAGGATTATTGACTTCACGAAGCGTCCCGATGTTCTTAGAAACGTTCCTGTTGCCGTCCATCGAAAAAATCCTGGACTCCTTTCTATCGAGCGGATCTTCGTAGGATGATCTCCCCGATCTGCACCAAGGATATTGATCGCATCGCAGATACTTGGGATTAACTTTGACGTCCTTCACATCCTCCAGTTTACAGTCCGCTTGCACTCGCTCGCCGCAAGTCGTTGTCACTGGCACCGGTGGCAAGCGAATCCGCAGGGTCTCGGCAGCGCGTAAAAACGCGTCCAACCGCATCCGCGGAACCGTGACACTTCCGGTGTAGACGAAGCCGAGAAGAGCCGCAAGTTCCGGCGCTTCCATTTCAGCTAGGATCACCGTGATCGGCTCACAATGAGCGGTGGCCTTGCTATGCGCCAACAATACTTCCTGTAAATGAAAATAACGTTGTTTTTAAAAACATTTGAATAATTCGGAAACATTATTAAATAATTTTATATATATATATATATATATATATATATATATGATTAATTATTTCTCGAAACTATAAAATATTCTAAAAATAACGAATTTTAATTTACTTTTCAAGATATCTAATTTTATGGAATAGTAATTAAACGAATCCCATAAACGTGTCCAATATATTAGCCAATATTATATAGAAAAATGCATTTAAATATCAAACATGATATCTCTACTCTATTTAAATGCCAAAGAAATGCATAAAAAATGACCGGGGATTCGGATTTCTGCATTAATAAAAATTACTTTATGATATCATATGTTGGTTACAATTAATAGTGCATAATTAATAACATCATAAAAACATGAAATTTGTTCAAGAAACATGTCGAGAAACATGTCGAGAAACATGTTGACTGCATAAGTAGGCTGAATTTTATTAGCGTTCCCATTTTCAAGTTAAAAAATTTACAAATTTATTTGTTTATCTGGTACGTAAAACGGCATTATATAAAATCGTAAACCTATTTACAGAAATTACAGAAATATATTAATGATAGGTAATCAATGTTAGAAAAATCTTTTTAGGAAATTCAATTTGATAAAGATTTTTTGCACAATTTTTCTGAAATATTTTTGAAGAAATTATCAAGTTTAGACAGATAAACTCTCTTTTATTTTAAAAACAGAATAACTATTTACAATTAATTGAATATCAATTTTTTATTTTATCTTATCCAATATATCTTGATATCTTTTTTAAATAACGCACCATGTCTCCATCAAACAATCTTATATAAAAAATTTTTAATAACTTAAAATATCATGCATTTGTAGATGGAATAATACATTTGAAGAATTTATGGATGAATAAAAATAATTTAATCAATCTATCGAAATATAAAGCTTAATTACTAGTTATCAAGGAATTGTAAGAATTAAGACTTCCGAATCGTTCAAATGTTTATTTTAAGCTCGTAAGAATCGCGCGTTTGATTTATTACATTCTTCTTTCCGTCGTTATTCGCGCGGATAATGGAACATGAACAATAATGAATTACGAGCGTCTCATTGTTGCAAGCTTGAAGACCACGTTGCGCCGAGATAACTGTAATTACAGCCTCGGTGGTCGATTCGACGGATCTTTTCGATTTTTTAACGCGATAATTAACCGCTATTGGCCAGTCGCCGAGATCAGGGAACCGATTTGAATTAACCTCCGTCATTCGCACAATGTTGTTTGCGCGATAAAGAAAAAGTCGCGCATTTTTGTCCCATTGCGTAAGATTGCGTAAAAATATAGATTGCACAAATCCCTTTAAACTCCTTTTGAACGATCGCGCGATGTCCATGTACATAAAGTGAATGTCTTAAAATGATTCCCCGGACTTTCTAAAGGTTTCTTTATTCCGCATTAACGTGGAATTTATTATGTATTCGTATCTAGACGCTCTATTTCCCCAAAGATCAAAGATTTTTTCTTGACTTTCGGATTCTTTGGATAATGTTGTATACGAGATTGAAAGGAACATTCTAGTCTTCAATCATTCTTCTTCTTCGCGCCGCTCTGCAACCATTTTAACGGCTCGTTGACGGCAAAAAAATAGCGAGAGCATCATTCTTGCACGTAGAGAACGCAAATGAAACGTTAGCTTTCAAACCGGCCCGCGGCTCGATGCAACTTCCCTGCACCGTTGCCTCCAATGGCGTAGGAAGAACTTTCGAATTCTTGCGCAAGAATCATTCGTGGGGCCTGCATTTCATTTTTGCAACATCAAACATCGATATCTTGCAGTCTCTCTTCCTCTGACTATTGTTGCTATGAGATAGATTTCAGATTTAAAAAAAAACCTGAATTATAAACTAAACCTGAACCATAAACCGACAATATAAATACATCTACGCGATACATTCTCAGCTTTAAAATTTTCCTCTAAGCTATTTTCGGTATCGTGTCATCATGCAAAAGACGGCTATTTATTATCTGATTTTCATATTAAAACTCTACATTTGACGTTTATAGCATCATTTTATGTAGATTTAAAATCGGTATATTTTTATAAAAAAATTTCTTCTACCTGAATCTAGAATCTTTCTTTTTGAAATGAAGAGGAGAAATGGGTTTATAGATTGCCTGTGATTATTGCTTTCATATTTCTGTTATATTATGGCTACACCTTTGTGCCGCAAGGCCGTGATCAGCTTTTTTACTTCTTACTTGAAGTGTTTTCTCGAACGCAATTATTTAAGATTATTATTTGCTCGTTTGAATTATCATTTTTTATTCGAATCATAAACATTTCCAGAGGTCATGGAACATCTCCGAGATCGGAATATATTCCATTACATTTAGACAAGAATGTACGTATAGATAATCAGACGTAAAGTAACGAGCTTTTTATGCAACCGAGCAAATTAAGGGTAATGCACAGATTTATCGCCAACTTTAACATAATTAATGATACAATAAACGTGTGATATTATGTTTATATATCATATTTAATATCTCGCATCTACTTTACAAACTATTTTTTAGACAAACATATATCTCTTTAATGATGTGTTCTTAATTGCTGAAACATTTTCCAAAAAGGTAAAGAATATTAAGAATAAATCTTCTTAACTAATATAACACAAATATACTATATATATATAACTTCTTATATATACATCCTATATATACATAACTTCTTTATATAAAAATTTTATTTTTAAAGGATTAATTTGTCTTTAAAGTTTGATATTCAGCAAATTTATTATAAATCGTATATATATCTCAAAATTTCGTGATCATTTTTTAATTTTATTCTATTTTTTATTACTTTATGAATCCTTCATAGATGAAAAAATTATTATAATCGAGATGTCTGGCAATTTAGTTAAAACTATCCATATCCGCTATCTACAAATGTAGTAAGAATGTAATAAACGGTTACTGGTTTCAAGCTGTGAGAAATTTTTAAGTCTGTTTATATCGATTTATATGTCGATTTATCGCATGCGAAACAGCGATTACACCACCGCGATCTATCAATCAATTACAATAAATATTACAAGTAATCAACGGATGTTATCTTTAACCGTTAAATGATATCAAGCTGTGCGAAATTTTTCAGCTCGTTTCCGCAGATTTATAGATCAATCTTTATATGCATGAAACATTACTGTTGAGATCTATCAATCAGAATCTTAGCGATATTCTCTCTGAATGCGCTTTCTATCCGATGCGATCTATGCTATCCACATATTACGAAATTCAGGGTGCGATGGAAAACATCGATTAGACATCATCGTAATTACAGTAATCGGATATCAATTCTCTAGCGAGTGAATGATCGGCTGAATTTTTCTACGGTCGATTTTAGCTTCCCGCGAAGTAACGCGCAAAGTTTCGCACCTACTTCGCGTAATTGTAGGGTATTTGATAGCTCGCATGCAACAGTGCATTGCAGTACTTCTGTAAATATGTACAGCTCTTGAAGAAACGCTCAAGAAGAGTCGGTTTCCGAGACCTCACATAAAAAGAGTGTTTGCTAAAGATACACGATTTCATTCTCTCTCTTGAAAGATGTCAAGCAAAATTTCTCGATAAATATTTAAGAAAAGAGACAAAAATAGAAAACAATTTTATTTTTTTGAATTTCCCTAACTGAGGATTTAAAATGTAATTTCAAAATTGAAATCTTTTTACAGAAATTTTTCGTGTACGGTATCTTTAAATGGGCAACAAATATATTCAGATAAAATCAATATTTTCTTATATTCTTTGATTTGACATTTCATAATAAAATATTAAATCATATTTTAAAATAAAATGTTAGAATATCAGATCATATAATTTGCTAAAAAAAAGTCAAAAAGACAAAAAATAAAACTTTCGAATTTTCTTATAATCCGATTTAACATATAAATAATTAATATGCATCAATTACAGATTTCTGATAAAAGCGTAAATTAATTAAATGAGTCAAAGCAGTTCTGATATGCATCATAATAGCTGAAAAATAAATATCGATTTAGAAGGCATACGAGAGAGTACAAGAAATATGTATATCGATATCAGAAATATGTATATCGATTTACACATACATGTACAAGTTTTAATATTTTTCCTCTGATCATTTAATATTATTATATTAATTAGAATATTAGATTGTAAAAGTTTTTAAATCGAATATTTTTTCTATCGCGAATGTTAACCAATATAAAAATAAAACTTTTCTAAGGAAATAAATAAAATTGTTATGTGTTCAGGCTTTTATCAATTCAAACTCACGATCTCGCTTATCAAACGGGCTTAATGATAAGCAGAACAGTTGTTATACGGGCATAGACTTGAGAGATCTCTAATATTCAACGCAACATTTTGCACGCTTCTCTCATAACGACAAACGTGAATGATGATGTAAATACCCGCGTCGTCGTTTTGCGATATTAAAATAGCTGACGAGCATGATTTGGTTTTTGCGCAGCTATCATTTGATTCGCGAGTAAACAGAGTACATATATCGTAGCATTATATAAGACCTAAAATAAGACAATATTCGTAAAAATATTATATTGATATTGATTTTCAAAAACTTAAATCTCTTATTTTATTCTTGAATGAATCTTGGTAGCAAAAATTTCGTCTTTTATTATCTTGTCTCGATTTTATTAACAATTTTTATCTAATATTAAACAAATGTTTAAAATAATAACATATATATTTAACGTAATTATTATAATGTAATTTAAAATAATTATTACTATTTTTATGTCATTCGTTTATTTTTCAAAGCAAAATGTATGTATATTTGTTATCTTCATGAAAAGATTGCACGCAGTAATGCCAAAATGCAAAAACGGTTTATAACATGCATATAATCAAAGAATCGCGTATATGTGCGCAAAGTTTTGCTAAATGTAGCTATAAAATTTTATATTGTTTATTTTATTTATATTGTATTAATTATTAATAAAAA